CCGCGCCGCTGCCGCCCTGTCCCCGCCAGGCGAGACGCGCGCGCCGCGCGTGCGGGAGCCGCCGCAGCCCAAGCAGGTGGATCGCTGGACGGAGAAGCGCGCCCTGTTCGGCGTCTACGACAACGTGGGCATCCTGGGTGAGGCGGCGGGGCGCGCGGGGCAGCGGGGCCTGGCTGCGCCCGGGGCCGCTCAGCCCACCGCCCTGCCCGCGCTGCGCTGCCGCCCYGCAGGCGACTTCAGGGCGCATCCCAAGGACTTCATCCTGGGGCCCAAGTGGCTGCGGGGCTGGCGGGGCAACGAGCTGCAGAGGTGCATCCGCAAGAAGCGCATGGTGGGAGACCGCATGTTCCTGGATGACCTGCACAAGCTCAACAAGAGGATCCGCTACCTGTACAGGCGCTTCAACCGCACCGGGAAGCACCGCTAGGAGCCGGCGCGCGGAGCACGCGCGGCTCCACGGCGTCGCGCCGCCARTAAAGCCGCCTCTCGTACACACGTCTGTCTGTCTCCTGGTGCTTCGTAAAACTCCTTGCTACGCGTTTCCAGCCCCCAGGTCCTGCTGCTGCGCCAGGCCTGGGCTCTCCTGGAGTTCTGCCCTTTTGGCCACCTCCAACGTACCCCTCCCTACAGGCAGCTGTTCCCGTCTCAATCTCACCTTTGGGGTCCTCTGTTCTTGGCCAGGCTTCCAGCAGGCTTTTGGTTTCCATGAGCTCTAATTGGCAATTCCATGAGCTTGGCAATTTTGGTATTCTCCATCTTGGATTCTTCCCCATATCCAAATGCATAAGAGCCGTAAGAGGGCTCCCCAGCACTCGTTCCTGCTCTGCCCTTACTGGTGATTAATATTGATGATCAATTATTCAAATGTTAGTTGAACTGTGTGAAAGCCTGTTTCTASAACAGGATTTGTCCCTGTTTCTTGATGTTGACTTAATATCCACGTGAGGATATGTGTAGCCTTTGGGTAATAATTTGGTCAAGCTCTACAAAAGTAAATGAGGCAGCTTAAACATTTTTTAAAAATCCCTCATTTTCTAGAAATTTCCTTAACTGTTTCCAGGTTACTTCATAGGGAAAGTTGTGGTGAGTCAAAGCTGGTATTCCTCTAGTCCAGCATCCCTTACAATTCCTTACAAATTCTGCTGGTATGTGCTCYAGAGAAACCTGTAGAGTGATCTGTCCATCTCCTCTCTGCCAGCCTAGGGACCTATTCAGTGATTTAACRTATCCTGTTACAGAGCAAAGCTGTTCCATCTTTAAAAGCACTCGATGGCAGGGAACGAAGGGTCCCTTAGGTCTTAAGCTCTAGGAAGTTCAAGCCGAGCTTGTATCGAAGCAACCGTGAAGTCCACGTTCATTGGAACAAGGCTTGCAGGACTGATGAAGGATGCTGTTGTCTCAGGAGATCTGCACGGACGTGGGAGGGGACTGCGGAGGCACCTGGGAGAGAGACACTGAGTTAGAACATCCCTAGACAACTCGGGCTGGAAATCCCGGTCTGCAAGCAGACAAAAACTGGAAGAGGGTCAGGGAGCGGAGGGCCGCGGCACCGGATCCTTGGCTGCGGGTGCCCTCGCTCTGCAGGGGAACGGGAGCCGAGTGGGGCGCTGGGGTTCCGTCAGCCCCTTCTCCACTCGCAGCAGCCATTCCCACTACTGCGGGAAGCTCTCCCGGCAAAAGAAACTTGCGTAAGGGCAGAGCTTAAAAGCCCTCAGCTTTGCTGAGGCTACGCATGG